CCCTCCTTTTTATGAATTTAATGGCGGGGCGAGGTTCCATTCTATAAACCAAGAGTGCCGCATTTTAAAGGTAATCTGTTGCTCTGCAGCATGTACAGAATGTAGTCTCCTGCTTTCTTCCTACAGAGTGGAACTTATTTACTAGTTTCAGACGTAAGAAAGGCGAGTGACTCGACGAGGCTGGAAGCCGTGACCTCTCGCTTCCGAGACATACGCTCTATCGACTGAGTACCCAGGCGCAATTTGCTATTTAGTCATGCTAAAGCACTGATAATCACGTGAAAAAAAGTGTAAAACATTTTTATTTTTTAGAAGGCCTATTATACTAATCTAAAGATTAGTTCAGCCCACTCAGCAGAGCCTCTCTCTTTCAGACGAAAGGCCGCGGATATGAATCCTAGCTGGCACGTGAATAAGCGAGCACCTCGTGAGCACAACCCATTGTTGTGGGTTCAGCCTTTAAAAATGCAAAGAAACAAAGCACTCCTGGATGATGGTATAGTGCAACAGAAATTGCACTGCATGATATGCCGTAAGGAAAGAAAAATAATGCACTAATGACTTTCATCATAGAAACGCAAGAGATCACCTTCACAACGGTTACAAACTTTCCTGTTCCTTTCCTTCGTTTTATCGTAAGGCTGGAGGTAATCAGCAACGTTGCATGAAGTTGTCAAGATTTCTGAGCTAAACGGTGACATCTACAGTGGCATTTTGGATATCAGTTACATTTTTACCGAACTTCCTCGATGGTAAATTATACTTTATACAAAATTAAGCACAGTGTGTCTCAGGCTAGCATATTGTAGAAAAAAGAATGTAATACACAGATAATAAACAAAAATATAAGGTACTCGTTTAAAAAAGGTAAAGAAAAACAATATGTTGTTGAAGCCAATGAGCCAGCGTCGGCTGAAAAATCTTGCTCAAGTATTCATCTGAACTTCCTAATCAACTGCAATTCACAAGTAAATGTACGAAATAAATTATAATACCTTGCTCGGTCAGATCAGGCAGTTGTGAATGTACCGGCCCTAATATCGTCACATCAGGACTGGCACGCTCAGCGGCGAAACGCAAGTCCGTTTCGCTGCCACCGATGCCGTCGTAGCGAGCAACGCGGTCGTAGTCTTGCATGTCATATGGCGAACGGGC